CCTATACTGAAAACCACTTAATATTCAGATATTGCAAATGCTAAGTTAAGATTCTTTGAACTCTTAATATATATTTAACTCATGGAAAATATACTTAAATGAATAAAATATTAACTAAAAAATACAGAAAAAAATTCTAATTTCTCAAGCTCTCTCTCTGTATTCACTAATGTACTTACTGAAAAGAAATGAAAGACAGAAAGAAAGAAAGATAGAACCTCAAATTATAGATTTCCGCTAATTATTGTATTTGAACCCTTCATATCCTCTACTTCTAACCACATGATAGATCCTCTTATTTCTAGATCTGTTTCCTCTAAACTTCTATAAATAGCCCCTAAATGACCCCTACATGACCCCTAAATGTCCCAATAGAATGCATAATTTGTTACAGTAATTGTCCTTTGCATGCAGTTCATTCAGAATTCATCTGAAATTGTGAAGAAAAAAAACAGTGTTGTACAGTATATTCAAACTATGTACGTAAATGTACATAAAAACGCACAAATTCTGTTGTACAGTGAACACACCCCTGTAGAGGATGTAGGCCGTAAATTACAATTGCTTGGGCATGATCCCATTCACTTTTTATCCACGCACAATAAATTAAATAATTCCATTTCTACTTGTTCGCTCCGTTCTACACTTTATGGGACTTTTTCTCAGGCGGGAGAAATTTTAGATCAAGGTAAGTTTACCATCGGAGACCCATTTTTTACTCAGGGTGTCCTCAACCATAGAGGCCTACGTACATAGCTTCAGGGTTTATTGGGCTGAAATATTGGTGAACTCAGTGTCTCATAATACAGTGGAGTACNAGATTTATATTAAGTAAGGATTTGATGAAATTAATTATTAGTTTTGAATCATTATTTTTGACAAGCTAAACACTATTAGAGAAGATAGAAAGATAGATATACATAATACATAGATAAACAGATACATACGTGGATACATAGCTTATTGATATATATATATACACTAATACATAGAAACAAATATACATAGTTAGATAGATAGATGTTTAGATAGGAAGCGTCAGATATATAGAACTTTAGCTTACGATAAAAAGATAGACATATAGAGAGAGTAGGATATTGATTTCTATGATTAGGACTGACTAGTGGCTAATATTATCAGATTCATTAATATCTTGGAACCTTTTCTTCTTCTCATTTATCTTCCTGGAATACGGAGTCTCTCTCTCTCATCTCTCTTTTCATTGATCACTTTCATGTCATCCAACCTTCCGGACTTTACTCCGAGCCTAATCCTAAACTTCTCTCAGACTTTACTCCAAACCTAAACTTCTCTCCCAGACTTTGCTCCGAACCTAAACCTAAACTTCTCTTAGACACTTTACTCCAAACCTAAACCTAAACCTCTCTCTCAGACTTTACTCCGAACCTAAACCTTAACTTTTCTCCCAGACTTTACTCCGAACCTAAACCTAAACCTCTCTCCCAGACTTTACTCCAAACCTGAACCTAAACCTCTCTCTTAGACTTTACTCCAAACCTAAACATAAACCTTAACTTCTCTCCCAGACTTTATTCCGAACCTAAACCTAATCCTCACACTCAGACTTTACTCTGAACCTAAACCTAAACCTCTCTCCCAGACTTTACTCAGAACTTAAAACTAAACCTCACTCCCAAACTCTACTCCTCAAACCTAAACTCAACCTTGGAGAAACCTCCTGGATCCAATCCTGCCTCTTCTACTTATTTTACCCCTGGAGAAACCTGGTCTGAATTCTGATCTTGTTCCGGGTTCTGTCTTGTTATCTTCTTTAGTTTCTCATCCTGCTCCGAGTTCTTTTTCTCCGAACCCTAATTGGAACTGAAGTTTTCGAAAATTTTCAACTCCTTCATACTTTCCCTGTTCCTGCTTTTTTCTTTATAGTTCTCATCAGTCACCTATTATACTATTTCTTTTTTCGAAAACAATTATTTTTAAACCATAAAACCCATTTCACTCCAATCCATTCCCTTTTCCCTTTACTTTTTCTCCGCTTTCCTCCTCTTCTCCTCCCCTTCCTTCAGCCTTCTTCTCCCCCCACCTTCATCCAGCCTTTTTCACCTCCTCTTTCAACCCTTCTTCTCCCCCTTCCACCCTTCTTTTCCCCTTCCTCCACCCTTCTTCTCTCCCCTTCCACCCTTCTTCTCCTCCCCTTCCCCCGGCCTTCTTCTCTCCCCTTCCATCCTTCTTCTCGCCCTCGTCCCAATATTACAAGATATCCTTGTGTCTCTTCTTCTATATCATGAATACTAAGTTTGCTCGGCTTAAGTGCCAAATCTGAACAAATATGGCTGATATTGATCCTTATCCAATAAATGTTAGTTTTACAAAAACTAGCTGTGTGCAGGTTCAAAGAGAAACCTCTAATTTACTCATTTAAAGACCAAAATTTCCTCAGTCAAAGATAAAATTTGTTCTGTTAATAATCAAAACTTGCTCAGTTGAAGATAAACATGTTCTTGGGTAAATACCAAAATTTGCATCGTTAAAGATCAAAATTTGCTCATTTAAACACCAAAATTTGCTCGTTAAAGATCAAAATTTGCTCAGTTAAAGGCCAAAATTTGCTCGGCTACAGGAAACCTATTTTCTCAGTTAAAGATTAAAATTTGCTCCATATTTACCATACTTCTGTATGGCGTTTTATGCAAAATTTGCTCCTACCATACCACTATCGTTAATTTTGCTCTAAATAAACCAATTTCCCGCAATTTAATTCCATGATGTTAAGTTTTTATTCAAAATATTTGTGTTTCTGCAAGTGTTTTTTCATGATATTGATTTAGGTACAAATTTTCTTTGTTTGAACAAATGTTCTCGCGCCCCTACGGGCATATACGCCCATGTTTATATTTCTGTAAAAATTTCACGGTTCTGAAAATCAAGTTAAACTTTTATGTTTTAAGAAAACCTTTTTTCTCATCTCATCATCCCTTCGTTGTTTCAATTTTTTATTTACCTTATTATTTTCCTGTTTTATTACAGCTTAATTAAGTAGATAAAGACATATGGTAAAAACATATTTACTCTTTCGAAATTTTTACGATTGACTTTCGAATTCGATGCGTTGTCTGTGAATATTTTGTCTATAACATCACTTGTAAAATATTCATTGAACAATATTTGTTTTCATTCATAAGTTTTTCATCCACTTGACGTTATACATCTATTCATCCTGTCTCGGATGAGTATGAAAACCCAAGAATTATTATTTAAACATCCTCTTTGTCAAAACCCTTTTCGACTCATGTATTCTTCGAACGACATATTTTTTCAGTTAATTTTTCTTTAAAAATCCTGTTCAACTCCTTTCCTCTCCTTAAACCCCAACCTCCTTCTCAGCCCCTCTTCCTAACTTAAATTTCCACAATTTTTTCCCTTTCCTTTTGTGTATATTTGAACATATATCACGGGGAGGGGCTGGGGGGGGGACGTAGAACAATAGACCAAAGGTAATTTATTCACGTGATGGACTCACTGACAGACAGCCAGAAAAACAAACAGACACACAGACAGACTAATACTGTACAGTAGCTTGTATATTTGACAGACATATTGACAGACGGACAGTTTAATGTATCAACACTCAGTGAATGCCTCCAGTGAGGTTACAGGGTAGAGGAGTGAGGTAATCTTCCCCTCGGCGGGGGGGGGGAGGGGGGGATGATTGTTAGAAAACAATCTGGCTTGTTTGTGAACCCTGGGTCTTTATAGTCGTACTGGCGTAGTTTACTTTTTCTTAAAAAGATTAAGTCAACTGCATCTGTACAGTGTACATACACACTATTAATGTATTTATCACATTGTACATTGCACATTTAATGTAACATAATCACACAAATATCAACTTTTTACTGTTTACCTAAAAACTTTTTTTTTTTAAATGGCACCTCAGAATGTTGTACAATACAAGTTTTTACAATGCTGTGTATAATTTACATTACATGTGCATGTACATGTAATGTACACAACGTTGTTTACATTGCACCCAGTGCTTATTATAACCTTGATGAGTTTAAAAGCCAATAATTACTTGTTTATATAAATAAAACTAAATTCCCCCATCCTGCTCCGAGTTCTTATTTCTCCGAACCCTAATTGGAACTGAAGTTTTCGAAAATTTTCAACGCCATCATACTTTCCCTGTTCNTTCTTATTTTTTCCTGTTATTGACTTTTCTTTTTGTTTTTGCACAGTTAAAATATGAACGTTTTAAAAACTTCTGTACCGCGGAATTCAATCTTAAAAACGGGAATTTATCCAGCAAAACTGAAGCTAGAATCTAAGCTTGTGTGGAGTTGGAGGAAAAATCGTTTCGCGAAAATTTCGTGTTTTTCACAAAATAATCTAATTTTTTCGCATTTTGTTCGCTTGCGAAAAAAGTTTGCGAAATTTTCTCGCGAAACGTTGCGGTCGCTGCAAACCCTAGTTGGAATTATATGTTTTTGTTTGTTTTCGTTTTTACCCTGTTTTCAAATTCCTCTTTCCAGGTTTAGCATATTTAAAGAGCTGTGTCTCTCTCCTGTAAATTTAATTTTCCTCTGCGCTTTAAACTTTATTGACGTTGACAGCAGAAATATATTTGTCTTAACCAATATAAATAGAATACAGGATAATATGATAATCGATCAATTTAGATCAATTTGGACCAATTCAGATCAATTTAGATCAATTTAGATCAATTTAGATAAATTTAGATCAATTTAGATCAATTTAGATCAATTTAGATCAATTTAGATCAATTTGGATAATTTTTTTCGTCCATGAAAATGAATGAATTTTCGTAATTTATAAAAATAAAAATAGTTTTTAAAGTTTCTAAAAATCTTTATTATTTCTAAAGCTTTGGGAAACTTGTTAAACTTTATAAAATCAAACCAAACTTCATTTTTTTCATCTTTTTTCAAACAACTCTTAGAAGAGAAAAGAAAAATCAATTTCCAAAAAAACTTGATTTTTCAAAATAATTAATATTTTAGGTGAGTACCTGCCATCTATACGGACTGGATATACCTGTGAAGGAGATGAGCTACTGGTCAACTGTGATCCTGGAAATATTATTCAGATTGTCAGAGCTAACTATGGCAGGTTCGACACTTTTGTTTACATTACAATTAAGAACTTTCGTCGTCGTATATATTCATACAATGAAGACGACTTTCGATTTATAATTTTATTTCGACCAAGCTTTCAAACAGCATGGATACACATAAACATAAAACAATGAAAAGCTGTCAATTTAAAGCATCTTTTTGTACTTGTAAACTTGAAATAAAAGCCGACCATGCAATCAAAAGTCAGTAAAATCAAATTTAAAATCAAACAAATTCTTTTAGGTTTTCAATTGCACTATGTAACGAGGACGGACAGACCCACTGGTCTGTTAACTGCATGGCACCTAATACAAGACAAATTCTACAGAAAAAGTAAGTTTTTAATCCATAATTTACCATAAAACATTGGTAAAAAAAGACGTTTTTTAGACTGAAGATTATAAATAGTTCAATGAACATGAGACACAGCAATTGTAAACATCCCCAATTTACTTAATAAGTGATTTAATAATAAGTTACTTGTAAACCAGTGGTAACCACCTACTCCATAACATATCTATCCAGGCACAACCCGTCCGCTATCAGAGTCAACCAGGACACAAGCATAGCTATCCATCAAGCTATTAGTTCCGTGTGCTACCACTTTTGTAGTAAACACTTACTCCATAACAAGTTCTCCAACGTATCTATCCAGGCACAACCCGTCTGCTATCATAGTCAACTAGGACACAACCCACTTGGCTCTAAATGCCACATAAGGACACAAGCATAGCTATCCATCAAGCTATTAGTTCAATGCTCTAAATGCCAAACAGAAACACAAGTCTAACTATCCAACAAGCTATATATCGATCCCAAATGATGGGGACGATCATACACTCTAAATGTCACACAAGGACACAAGCCTAGCTATCAACAAGCTATATATCGATCCCAAATGATGGGGACGATCATACACTCTAAATGTCACACAAGGACACAAGCCTAGCTATCAAACAAGCTATANGCAGGTGAAAGGAGAGCTAAATTGAGTAAAATTATAGAGGGGGGGCTAGCAGGTCACTCCATGATGACACACTACACAGTTCCAACTATATACCCCAGGCAGGCACTATTCTCTACATAGACAATAGGTTTAGGAGATTATACAACTATCTTATTGTCTAACTAACAGCTGTTGTCTGATTTCAGTCTAGCTGTCTATCTGTTAGAAATCTACCTATCTGTTGTAAGATATAAAATTATCTGTGCTTATGATGTGGACAGTCAATTAGCTATCTTTATCTTTCGTCAATCTAAAAGCCATTCTATTTGTCATTTGTTGGCAATGTTTCAGCTAGCTATCTTTTGTCTGCTGACAGCAATACAGCTGTTGTCTGTTGTCAGATTAATTGCAGCTATCTGTCTGTTGTCTGCAAATTCTTGAACTTTTTTCTGTTGACAAATCATTAGCTGTTATCTAAATCTTTTATCATAGTTTTAGCATTTTCTTAATCCATTTAAAGGCAGTCTGCTAATGCTTTCTTAAAAGTATTTTTTTGTCTATCTATCTATCTATCTATCTATCTATCTTCTTTAAAATAATACGAAAGTGTATTTTTAGATAGAAAAGATTTACTTTTTTTTTTATTGTTAGTTTTAGTTTAATCTTGTAAAGATCAGAAACTGCTTACACGGATCAGGTTTCTTGTTAAACCTAATCCATGAAAAACCTCAGGGGTGTTTATTTATTTTGAGAAATCACTATTCCCTCTTTTAAAAAAAAAATTTTCCCCCAAATGTTAGGTATTTGCGCGTAGAGGGAACATTTTTATAATTGTTTTATTCCCTAAAGAAAAAAAAAGTTTTTGGAGGAAAATGAATAAATTTTTGGGTACAAGGATGTCGAATTTTTTAATACGCATCTGAAGTCACCTACTTCTCCCACAATTCTTGAGATTAAATACCCCTTAAAAACCTAGAGAACTTAATAATATTTGTTACTTTGTAACCAAATTAATTCTCGCTTTCTAGAAGACCTTGAGAGAAGGAGGGGGGATGGGGTGTATAGGGGGATTTGTACAGGGCCGGGGGGGGAGGGAGGGGGCAA